AGCTTAATTTATTGTTGAGTAACTGATAGCTTAGCTCACTACACTGGACAAGTAGCTTGCCCAACACTGCGTATAACCTAGTAGGTTTGACCATAGTAATGACCAATTGTTGGCTATATTCAGCCCTGGGTCAAGCTGTCTTCCTTTTACAAACTATTTGTATTGTTTCATCTCCTCCATTTCTTCTCCAGACTGCCACTGACAGCTCATCCAACTCGTCTCAGAGGAGAGAGCCCACCATGCATGTGTTGGCTCCGGCCAATTTCTGCGAGCCGCGTCGACACCACTGCATCCTGGGACATTTCTACGAACATCACCGGCCCTCTGACCACTACTTCCTCGACCCGGTGAGTCCACAGCTATGTCTAAAGAGGCATTATGGCCGAACTGATCTACGTGTCTCCATGATATTTCTGCATCAACCAATCTTCTCTGACTCTCCTAGGCAGTACACATCTTTCCTCGTCATGCCAACTTCCCTTTGGAGGAGGAGGAGATTGTTCGCATTAGCCCTCACGAGCGAACCTGGCTCACCGGCTATGAGGACTACCGGCACGCCAACTCCACACGTGACAAACTCATGCAGCCACACATCCCGGACACCTGTGTGCACTTCACCAAGAGTGAGCCGCCCAAACACAACTACACGTACCCGTACCCTCTGAGCTGCGGCGTGCAGCGAGGCTATGACAGCAAGCCGGGCTGCCTGGAGATGGGAGGTGGTCGCAGGGCAGTGGTGACGCTGCAGCCTCGACCTCCTCAGTCCAAAGGGAAGTGTCGCATGGAGGATGGGGAGCGTTTTCGCTGCGTTTACTGTCAGGACATGTTCAACCGCGAGGAAAATGGGCGGGGCCAGTGCCAGGAGGCACCTGACCCCATTCAGACCTGTATCCGCCGGGTCAGCTTCATGTGGTGCGCCGACAGCCTGCTGTATCACTGCATGTCGGATCCGGAGGGCGACTACTCGGACCCGTGCTCCTGTGACACCAGCGACGAGCGCTTCTGCCTGCGCTGGACGGCGTTGATCGGATTGTCGCTGGTGGCGCCCTGCATGTGCTGCTACGCCCCTCTAAGGGCATGCCATCGCTGTGGGGTGGCTTGCCGCTGCTGCGGTGGGAAACACAGAGCTGTGGGGTGAGTCACCGCAGGCCCCGCCCACACAGCAGAGACCACCTGGAAACCGATGCCGCTGTTATTTCTGTTGTTGATGTGGTTCATTTGTAGAAAGAAGTGAAACTTTGTGTCAACCGTTGTGCTTTTTTTTTTTTTTGTTACTCAGAGGACCAAAAGGCTTTGTGAAGAAAATGTCTCCACAGAACATAAAAGTATGAATATGGGTGTATTATTAGGGCTGACAGATTTAATGTCAACACAGAAAATCATCTAAAGTACATCTAGAAATCAATTTGTAGTTGGTAACACTAAGGCACCACAGCATTTATCATGAAGGGTCGCTTCATTCTCTTTGTTTTGCAAAAAAATAAGAAAAAACAAAAGTTAAAGCAACCAAGTGTAGTTTTTAGCCATTAGGGGTGTTAGTGCTGTAATTTCCAGGTTTAACACCCCTGAAGGCCAGTGGCATTACTATATTAAACAGTCTCCCTGTATTCTGGTTCTGCTAGCAGATCATTCTGGACCAGCAGATGGAGAAGTCATGATTTCCTTGTAAACACAAGGACACATTCACCGCTGTAGATGAAATCCTACATCGTAATTATGTCTGGTCAGGTAAGGGTCAGATCTGTCTTGTTGGCTAACTACTTTTAGCTTAGTTAGCTCTGGCCTTTCAGGGGATCCACCATTAGTTTTACCAGCAGACTTTATTTGAGGAAAAAAATGTGTATATTCAGTTTAAAAACAACACACTTAACATAAACTGTTTAGTTTAAATAAATGTACTATTTATCACATGAACATATTATTTATGCTGCAATGCATTCTGGGAAAGTAATGTATGGTAGGTCCTTTAGCGTTTAGCTCTTTCCAGCCAAAACTACAAAAAGTGAAGTTGAACTTTTCAGTTTGAGCCACAGAACTTTGAAATTATTGAGAATGTATAAATTACAGGAGGT